CCATAAAATGCGCTGCACACATCTGAATATTTGGGTTGAACTGTTCTGGAACAGTGTTGTAAATACAACTTAACCACTGATTTGTAGTCGTGTCCTCTTTTGGAAGACCAACCAAAGTAGTTTCGCTTTCGCGTCTCACACACGGCGGGCTTGAGAACGGCGCGGCTGGCGGGCTTGCGGCAACCACGTGACGACCCCGGGCTGGACTCTGCTTCGTCCACGGTGAAAGCCGAGCGAAGAGCGAAGCCACGGTGAAAGCCGAAAAGGAAAAATTGAAATCGCATCATATGACCCCTTTAAAAATATATTTGATATAGTTTTTTATTGAAAAAAAATAAGATACAACATACTTATTTGAAAAATTATTTGCTTGAAAAAAAACCCATTCAGTATGATTATGTAAATAGGTATCCCCCAGCAGTTCCTATAACAATATTTTTGTGCTCTCACAATATAGTCACACCACTAACCTAGACATATTTGATTACCTTTTTGTCCTCTCTCAGCATCCGTACCCGTCTGAAGAACAGAAGAAACAGCTCTCCCAAGACACGGGTCTCACTATACTGCAGGTCAATAACTGGTTAGTAATCACTCTCTTTTACCAATAATCCACCTTTCTCATTGCATGCCATCATATTCACCTACTTAAAACAATGAGCAATTTAATTCAAAGTTAAAATGTGTGTATGTGTTTTGTATTTACATTTTTGTTCTGTATTTTTAATTACTGCAAAATGGATTCAAATATTCTCATTTGGTCTGCAGCTACTGTTGAATTCATCAAAATAACTTGTGTTTGCTCTTGCCGTCTCCTCTCAGGTTTATAAATGCCAGACGCAGAATAGTCCAGCCAATGATTGACCATTCAAATCGCTCAGGTGAAATAAAGTTATTCTGGATTTGTTGGCTGATTGTACAATCATTCTAATTGTATGGTAAATGAATATTCGTGGCTCTGTGCACTAAATAACACATATCTGTGTGTGTGTGTGTGTTTTTTCTTCAGGCCAGAGTGCTCCATACAGTCCAGAGGGGGCGGCTCTAGGAGGATATGGGTTAGATGTACAGTCTCACTTAGGTCTTAGGACAGCAAGTGAGAACAGCTTTCATAAGCTACACCACCAAAACATTGCTCCGGAGTGGGCTGATATTTCTGTTGTCTGTCAATATTGGCTTTCATTCACTAACTCTCTCTCTCTCGTTCTCCATTGTCAGGACTTCAGGGAATGCCGTCCCTGCCCACAGATTACCCCGGGGCCCTTCTGCCCCAACCGGGATACTCCCACGCTGGCCCATCCTTGCACCCGTACCCCGGCCCCCACACTGCCATGCTGCTCCATCCTCCACCCCACAGCCACCCCGCTGAACAACTCATAGGACAAGGCCTTGACATCCATGCCCACTAACTGAGAGCGGAGCAGGGAGGGTGCGCTGAAAATGAGATGGAAGGGTACATTGTAAATTGACTTTGCAGTACCACAGCCCATCACTCTCACCAAACCTTCAGGGCATCACCGCGGTCGACACATAATGACTCTGAGAATGTCTTAAATGCACTGACCTGGCATCATAAATGTATCAAAATTATGCACTCAGCTCCCATGCAATGCCCATCTCAAATGCCTGACAGACTTGTTACATTCCTTAACCATTTCTTGCTATCTGATCTCCTCATGACATGCTCTGAATGCACTGTATCTATCTACTAGTTTTTATGCACACTGCTGCATTTGATTAATATACCCATGTCTTCCTATGGCCTTAGGGGTGAGCTGAAGTCTCCCTTAATCTAACATTAAGGCCTTCATTGCCTTTTCTTGCCTTGCCTCCGAAAACCCTCTTGAGGAGCACAAACGGAAAAACAGCATATACCTCCTCCGTCAGGACCCAACAGGTCAGAAATTCCTGAAATAGTCTTCTGAGATGAATAATTGCACCAAATCCTTACAACCTAACTGCTGAACATGGTTAATGAAATGGAAGGGTGAAGCTCATGAAACCATGTCACGCTTCACCCCAAAATCAAAAGACATTTTGCACAAGAAACCTATTATTAGAAGAGAATTAGGAATCATTTTGCATTGCGATCTCATTTCTATGAATTGCATTTTCCACAAAAATCTCATTGCTGTAATGCATCTGGATGTGTGTTTTTTTTTAATTCCTATTATTCTTAATAGTAATTCTCATGTTTCCCATATTACAGTAATACAGTAAAAACCTGGTTTTCTTGGAAGAAAAATATCAGTCTTATTTTGATTTTGGGGTGAAACAGATATCAAAGACGTATTCCTGGGAGATTTTTTGAGATTCACCTGTAAAAAGTCAAAGAGCCAAGAGTCTCTGTCTTCCTAGCTGAGGGCCATATACATTTCAAGTCAGTCTCACTTTTAGTTTAACACATTATTTAATTTAATTTTGTTTTTTTTGTTTTTTTTTGTATTTATCTAACTACGGCTACTCCAAAACTTTAAAGTTACAATAATCCGAGTGCCGCGTTTTTGAAATATCTCGATTTGATAAAGAAGTGAATATGTTCTTCAGTTCTTTGAAGTTTATGTGAATGTTTACCTGCTGAGGTCCCGACAGGCACATTTTTGGTTTGCTCTAAAGGACCCGACTCACATTACCATCAATATTTCACCCAATTTCATCACATGAATGAATACCAGAATATCTGACGATACTTTTTGGAGATTTGTTTGACTTCAATCTTGGAAACTTAAGCTCTTTTTTGTCATTCCCCTGTCTGCATTAAAACATATTATGTGACTGTTGATATATTGATATTTCTGTTGATACACAACATATTAAGTTCAAGCATTGACACAATGTTTCTTTTGGCCATTTAAACATTTTAGGAATTTAAAGTCAATTTAACTAATGACCAATGCATATTTAATTAGACACATTTCTCAATCCATAAATATTTATAAAGCACAACAAACCCACCCCACAAATGGAAAAGTGAGATTTTCCTGGCGAAAAAAAAAATTAATCTAGTCATTAATAATTGTTTGACCTAAAATTAAATGAAACAATTAGAGACTAAAAAGAGAGGACATTTGAATTTGAGAGAAGCAACATTTCAAGTAATTTAATAAAATCACCACTGTTTATTTGTTGTTGTTTTTTGACATTTTTGGGGGCAATTTTTATCTATTGTATCTCTTTGTTTAAAACATATAAAAAAACTGAAATAATCTGCAGACAAAATAAAATAAATAAAAGTTTCTACATGTGGGTTGGCTCCTTGTCATCACAAATCTCTGCCAAAGTGTTTTTCATGCATCAATGTTTTTCTGGCTCCATGTTCACCCCCATACAGATTCAGCCTGCAGCAGGGGTCAGAGTTCACCGAAGGGTTAACAGGAAGAGGACTATCTCTCTGACCCCTTAAGGTCACCCAAGTCCCTCCACTTTAATTTCTTTTCCTAATTTTTCTTGACCATCATAGCTTTTCTTCTCCTTTTGCTTTGTATTATATCTTTTAAATTGAGATTATTTAACGTTTTATCCATTAAATAGGAAAGACACAGATTTTGCTCAATTTAAGCTTGATAAGAAACATTGGCTTTCTTCATGTTTTTAATTCTGATATTCATTTGCAAGGCTAGAATCTGTTCTGATTTAACTCATGGAAAAAGCAGATTGAAAATACAAGCCTATTTTTTTTTTTATTATGATTATTATTTCACCGATAAAAAATTACTTGATCATTGGATGTACTCACTGGTTTCACCAGTGCATTAATTAATCTTAAAATGAACCTGAACTTGTATCAATTCCAAAATCTTAAAATAGCTTGTCACATTTTCTGTTATATATTACAATATATTACAATATTGTTCAGTGTAATGATAAATAAAAATTGTCTAAAATAAATACTCATTTGGTAGATTTTTGCCACTATTATTGTTTTGAGCATAAACCTTACTAATTTTTGAAATCAAAATATATTTGTCAATGGGGTAAGACTTATTTGACAACATTAACAAAGCATGATGTCTTAATGTCAATTTTGTATATTTTGAATTTTAAGGATGTTCCAAAATTATATGGGAAATCAAGACAACAATGCTGATTAACAAAATCATATCTTAAATTGTATAATATATTGTTGTTTCATATATTGGTAATGAATGATCACTATTGTCATACAATGCCACGCAATTTAGATGGAGCACAATAAAGCAGCTCCACTTTATAATTATACATCACTGTTCACAGCACAATATCAGCAAAATTGTCGTGAACAAGCTGCTGCAAATGATACATGCATTTTGGGTCTGTGACTGAAGAGAAGTGTGAAAGTGTATGTGAGACAGAAAGGAAAAATCCAGGCAGGTTGTTAATGATCCATCCGTTGGTTTAATGTAGAGAATAATTGGTTTGAAAGTGTTGGGGTGCATTTTGCCACTGGCACTTCTCTATTTATCTCCATTAACTGCAACTTCGTTATAGCTCACAGTCACACTCCTTACAAAGCTGTCAATCAAAGCATCACAAATTCAGAATGTGTGTATTTGAAAGCCAGCTCCTCTTTGTTGCTGTCTTTAGTCTTTAAATAGCTCAGGCTTTTAACCATCTGTGTATTCAGCGACACACAAGAGAAAGTCATATATCTCATTTATGCACTCTAAAAAATGCTGGGTTAAATATAACCCAGCATCATATTTTATTTATTTATTTAATATATTTTTAAACAACCCAACCGCTGGGTCAAAACAACCCAATAGCGGGGTTTGTCCCATTTTAACCCAGCGCTGGGTTATATTTAACCCAGCATTTTTTAGAGTGTGTCCTGTGCTGGATGCAGTTTCACAACATCTGCACATGAGTGAAAAATGCATAATTGTTTATTTCTAAATGATAACTTAAGAGTTTTGGATGTTGTTGTGGCTGAAATACAGCCTTAATAGACTGTAGTATTTAAAGTTAGACTGAGTGCAAGATGTCTGAATAGCCCACATAATAGGGCTTGTAATCTTGTTCCTCTAGGCTTTTGTTGGCTGTTTATATATTGATTATTCTATATAAACAAGCATTTTTAAGAATGTATTAACAAATATGTGTCTCTGTGTGAGTGTGTTTATGTGCACCATTCACAATGTGCTGCCAAGTGATAAAGAAAGAATTTCAGTATTGTGGCGGGTAACACAGTCACTCCCACTCAGGAGCGCCGCTAAGGGGGGGCAAAGTTAGGACGATTCTAAGGGCCCACGCACTTTGGCCCCCCCCCCCCCCCGAGATCTGTTTTATT